AAATCATGACCCCCGGGGATAGGGTGGGACCAAAATGGCAGATCAAAGTTTTACATAGGAACATATAGGGAAAACTTTTAAAATCTTCTTTTCAACTACTTCAAAGCCAGGCTTCGTTATATTTATAGGGAATCATCCTCAGGTAGTGTAGATTCAAGTTTGTTCAAATCATGACCCCCTGGGGGGGATGTAAAATTCAAGCAGCCCCCCCCCCCCCCCCCCCCCCCCCCCCCCCCCCCCCCCCCCCCCCCCCCCCCCCGTTTACTTTCAGTTCTGATCGATCTGATCTGTGTTTTTTCCTAGCCAATTGCTCAGGTGAGCGATGTGGCCCCTGGGCCTCTTGTTTAGAATTTAGATCTAAGGGCAGATCACTCGAACTGTAGAAAAATACCTTAGAATCAGAACTCTTTAGCGTGCAGTGCAGAGAGGGTTCTTAAAGGTGCCAGAGAACCAATTTTGATAAATTTTCTTAACAGAGTTCCTCAGATCCAGATGAACCTATCCATATCATCAACGTGGGAATTAAATTCAGCAAAAAGGAGAAGTACGACGACAATGCCCTTGCCGTCAAATTCCAGGATTTTTGTAAAGAGAGGGTATGGAATGGAATCACAAAATACAAATAATGAATTTTAAAGCTGCAATTCTCTGTGATAAATCTATTATCATGGCTGTAGTTTGAGATCATTGAATGTCATGTTTTGTGATATATTTTTAGGAGAAGTATTTGTGTGAGAAGGCCATCAGAAGAATCACATTCCTCGTCTACTGTAGGGTAAGTCTCAAAAGGAATGTTTTCACTGTGATCAAACTTTTGCCATAATATGTCAAAATTTCAGTACTAGTTTTGTAAATGAAAAGCAGTGCAATATGTATATTCTAAACTTATCATTGGCTTGCATTTTATTTCTCTTTCAGAGAAGTTCCCCAAAATATTTCACATATCGTGCCAAATTTGATGTAAGTAAAGCACTAAAGAATGATGTAAATAAAAGACATGTCAACAAGTGATGTGTTTCAAGAAATGTCTTGTTCCTTTGAATGGTTCAGACTATGATGATAACAATGTGTTTATTTTTAGTTTGGTGAGGACAGGATTTACCGACATTTAGAGCCCGCCCTGGCCTTCCAGCTGGAGATAAACAGACTGAGGAACTTTGACCTGGAAGCCATACAGACCAACAACTACAAGATGCATCTATACCTGGGAAAAGCTAAGGTAGATTTTAACTCAGTTCTGATTAGAGGGAGAGAACTCTTACAGTACATGTAATTCATATAAAAGCCTACCTCATGTGTAAACAATTCAAATGTTTTGAAAATTAGTTAATTAATTTGTCTAGTCTTCTTGAAATCATATTATTTAAGCTTGTTGTACAACATATTAAGTATTTTGGGAATTAAAGTTGATTGAAATTTTTTTATAAAAGTCAGAGAGTTTAGACTAAGTCTATTGTGCTCAACAATTTTTAAAGGGATGTAACTCTGTGTACCCTGCATTATAAACATTGTGTTTATTGTCTAACAGGTGGCAGCCGGACAGGAAGTGACGGATTACAGATTCTTTGTGAGGGTCATCATCAGGCACTCCGACCTCGTCACCAAGGTAACATTGCACACAATGAATAGGCACAAAAAAGTTGTTCTTCTCAAAAGAAAAAATAAATTTGTTTTGCAAGAACAGATATTGTCTGATCTGTACCATCTTATGTACATGCATCTTGCACTTCTACATTTTCCTCCCCTTAATACTAAATTCTACATTAAGCAAAAAATCCATCTAAACATTAAGTGTTTCCTGTAAGAGTTGTCATATTTTTGAGTGTTTGTATATATGGCATCATCTGAACTGTTAATACTCTTTTTCAAACAAAGACAGGCCTTAAATTAGATAAGAATTTGATCTTTCTTTTTCATTAGGAGGCCTCCTTTGAGTACTTACAAAATGAAGCAGAGAGAACCCTCCTGGAGGCTTTGGATTCATTAGAAGTGGCATTCTCCCATCCACTGGTTAGTTAATTAGGGTTGATAATGTCCTCTAAATTCACTTATTTTTATTGATTTAAATTTTGTTGATATGAGAAAAAATATTGGTTCATTGGGATTATAAATTCCATTATTAATGTAAACAAATATGGTATTGGAGTTTGAAAGTTCCAATATTCTGCAGGACATAATTTTTTTTTATCTCTTCATATATACCTTGAAAAGACAAAAATTACCCCTAGTCTCCCCTTTTCCTACGAGAATCAGCAATTTCATGGTACCTGTGTGTTTCAGAATTGAGCTTAGTGAATGTGTCAGTTTGTATCAAATTTATCATTCACAGTTCTAAATGGATATACATGTAACTCATTATAATTCCAGTCCAAGAAGACTGACTGTAATCACATATTCCTGAACTTTGCACCAACTCTGACCATTCCAGAACCAGGCAAGGTAAAAATAATTTTACTATGTATACTTTGGTTTTATAAACATGTTTCTGATTTATATTACCATGATTGTGAATTCACCATACCCATGTGTTATATCTCAACAGTTGGAGGAGACGGTCAGAGCCATGGTGATGAGATATGGCAGTCGTCTCATGAAGATGAGAGTTCTCAACGCTGAGCTCAAATTCACTATAAAGTAAGACTAGTTAGTGATGCTCAAACTTTCTTTGAGATGAATATTTTTGGGTTGTACATCATGTATAACTTTGCAGATGAAAATCCCATATAAATTTTACAGCTTCTATCATACAAGTAGTATTTTTGTATGTTTTTAGGTTTGCATCCAGTGATACAAGCATTCCTATTCGTCTTTACCTGACCAATGAGAGTGGATATTACTTGGACATGAGCATGTATAGGGAGGTCACAGATCCAAACATGGGACAAGTATGTCATTTCAGTTTTCTTTCACTCTGTTTTTGCTTGCACTTTAATGACATATTATACATGTTCATTGTATGTTATTTTAACCAAAATTAAATCTTAAGTTAGTAAACTTTAATCGGAGAAGGGATGTGATGGGGGAAATTAAGGGCAATTGTTCTTAGTATTCTTTGCCTGCCATCTACATTTTCTGCATTTCAATTGTGAATTGAGAATTGATTTGAACCAAGTCAAACAAAAACTTCAAACCTGCATACTGTTGAGATAAAGACTTCATATCAGACATTACCCCTTACAGAATAACCCTATAGTAAATGTACCTGTATTTTGAGACAGTCCCTAAAAACTCCTCACGGAGATTTTTCCTAAACTTTGCAAGTATACTGAAGTCAATGTAAGTTACATATGGTATACAATTAAAGAGTTTGTCTACTACAGTTTTCACACAGTTAAACTCCTGCAGTTAGCCCCTTTAAGCATAAGTATGTATCAAATTCTGAGTACCATTTGTAGGTGATGTTTGAGGCCTATGGAACAAAACAAGGAGCCCTTCACGGTCTGCTGATCAGCACGCCTTACCCCACAAAGGACCACCTACAGCTGAAGAGATTCCAGGCTCAGTCAAGCGGAACAACTTATGTCTATGATTTTCCAGGAATGTTCACTCAGGTAACACAGAAATTGACAAGGCTATAATTATAAGATAAAACACCTACTGAGAATGCAACATTATGACAACAATTATCAAGGAAATTGAAATCCTCAAGAAAAAATTTTATACAGACAATGTTATATAATGGATACTTTTGAAAATTAAGTCCCAATGTAATCATTTTTTCAACCAAAAAATACCTGCTTCCATGTTTTCAGCATATTTCATATTTAAAAGTTAAAAAAGAATAGAAAGGTGATTAGTAACAGAATTTTTGCTGTTGTAGGGTGACTGTTACGAATCATATCTTTCTTTCAGGCCTTACAGAAGTTTTGTTGTTGTGGAGACATTATTATGATTCAGTCTTTCTCTTTCAGGCCTTACAGAAGTTTTGTTGTTTTGACTTTGTTGTTCTGTGTTTCAGGCCTTACAGATGTTTTGTTGTTTTGACTTTGTTGTTTTGTATTTCAGGCCTTACAGAAGTTTTGTTGTTTTGACGTTGTTGTTGTATTTCAGGCCTTACAGAAGTTTTGTTGTTTTGACGTTGTTGTTGTATTTCAGGCCTTACAGAAGTTTTGTTGTTTTGACTTTGTTGTTCTGTATTTCAGGCCTTACAGAAGTTTTGTTGTTTTGACTTTGTTGTTCTGTATTTCAGGCCTTACAGAAGTTTTGTTGTTTTGACTTTGTTGTTCTGTATTTCAGGCCTTACAGAAGTTTTGTTGTTTTGACTTTGTTGTTCTGTATTTCAGGCCTTACAGAAGTTTTGTTATTTTGACTTTGTTGTTCTGTATTTCAGGCCTTACAGAAGTTTTGTTGTTTTGACTTTGTTGTTCTGTATTTCAGGCCTTACAGAAGTTTTGTTGTTTTGACTTTGTTGTTCTGTATTTCAGGCCTTACAGAAGTTTTGGAAGGATCACAGAGAGGAGAACAAGATTCCAGCTGATGCCTTCAGTTGTATAGAGCTGGTCCTGGATAAAGACAACAACCTGTGTAAACAGAACAGACTGCCAGGGGAAAACGAGGTTAGACTGTTATACTGATACATATAAATCTGTGTAAACAGAACAGACTGCCAGGGGAAAACGAGGTAAGACTGTAATACTGATACATATAAATCTGTGTAAACAGAACAGACTGCCAGGGGAAAACGAGGTTAGACTGTAATACTGATACAAATCTGTTTTCTGTTCACGTCTGGAAATTAAATCTTTTGATATCAGAGGCCTGTTTTAAAAATTTTAAACGTACAACAAATGTAATTCTGCTTATTACCTTCTACTACTATTTAATCTTGAATTGCAAAGGTTTTTAACTTTTTAAAAAGAATTTAACAAGGTATTTTTATGATAGCAGTTTCAAGTAGAATCATAAATTTAGCACAATTTTTTTCAATTTAGAGGAAATTTTGGCCTTAGTAGTAAGTTTTTATGTAAATGAGCTCCTGGGTTGTTTGGAATGTCATTCTTTGTCCCATTTGGAAATGTCTTACAGATTGGAATGGTGGCCTGGCAGATGACCTTGAAGACACCAGAATGTCCTGAAGGTCGTGACATCATTGTTATATCTAATGACATCACTTACAAGATAGGCTCCTTTGGACCTGTGGAGGATCTCCTGTTTAAGGTATCACTCAGTGTAATCATAAAGCCTATATACAGCCATGAAAATGATACAGATAAACAATGATGGGTAAATAAACTGTAATGAACAATGAATCTCTAGGAAGAGGGCATAACATAGAACCAGGAATTTCCAGTGCCCAGAGTTTCCGAAAACCAAATATTTCTATCAGTCATTCGGACTGATGACTTAATGCGTTCTACCAGTCCCAAGCGTATTCCATCAGTCTGAATATATTTTAAAATATACAGTGTATATTTCAAATGGAATTGAATATGATTGTATAAATTTTCATCAGGGCTGAGACCAATTTAACACTGATTGTGATATCAGGGTTATGCAACTACAATTAATTCAAGCATGGCAAAAGACCACACAGACTTGTGGCAGCAATAAAGTCACTAGCCCCAAGTAAATGTTGGGGGAAAGAAACAAGTAATTATGAAAAAAAAATATTTTTTGAAAAAGAAAATGTCTTATGGTTACTAGAATTCTTTTAAAAAATATTAAAATACTCACTTGTAAAATTAAATCATGTATACATAGCACTTATGATAGAAATTCAAAATAAAAATAAATTTAAATTATCTTTACATTTTCTCAGTGGGCATTGCACTTCATGACCTATATACTGCATATGTTTACCATTGACAGAGGAATGGAGGACATTCGGATTAGGAAAAAACAATCGTTTTTGGAAGTAAATAAGTCAAGTAGAATTGCAAAATGGATAAGATTATGGATATTTACGAAGAATAGGAGCATGCTGCATTGAAAATTTTCATTTATGAAGACTTCTAAGTAGATCAGAGTGCAATAAATTAATCAGGAAAAGCCCTCACCACAATCGGTCACACGGACCGGTACTGTAGCCAATTTCATCGGATATTTCGATTTTCTATTGGTTTTGCCGGTAGGACCAATAGTTTTCAGAAACTCTGGTGCCTAGGAGTAGTAAACATCCCTTGACTGTTGAAGCTCTGTAATGATTTCAGATCAATATTTTTATCCATTGAAAATCGCCTTTCAGAAAGCCTCAGAGAAAGCCAGGAGAGAGGGACTTCCTCGAATCTTCATCTCGGCTAACAGTGGAGCCAGGATAGGTCTGGCTGAGGAGATCAAACATCTGTTTAAGGTGGCCTGGAATGACCCCAAAGATATAGAAAAGGTAAGGCTCAGCTTATAGACCTACCATAATATACAGTAAAACATGATAACAGGAAACATGCTTTTAATGAATTTATAATTAAATTGAAGATTTTTTCATTCCCAAAAGTTTAAAAGATATTATATGCAGTCAACATAAAAAATATACGAAATGATGTTCATAAAGACTCAAATTGCTTGTTACCTGCACACAGCTATTTTGAGCATATTATACTGTATACCAAAGTCAACATTGAAAAAGAACACAGAGTTGAGATATACTTTGTTTGAAGTCCATAAAACAGTAATTCTTGTTTACATTTGTATTCTATTATGACAATTTTTTTTTGTTTCTAGGGATTTAAATACCTTTACCTGACCCCTGTAGATTTCAAGAAAGTCAGTGCCATGAATTCCGTCCATGCTGAACTTATAGAAGATGAGGGAGAACCGAGATATAAAATTATTGACGTCATAGGTAAGAACTTGATTTGACCAGAACATTTTGACTTGATATTAAGACTGATATCTGATAACACATCGTTCTATTATTTTACTTTCTGCTTTATTTACAGGGAGAGAGGAAGGACTGGGAGTAGAGAATCTAAGAGGGTCAGGAATGATCGCTGGGGAGTCATCTATAGCTTACAATGATATCATTACAATCAATTTGGTTAGTACTTGATTTTAAACCTTGACTGCTTTATTGTTACTTATAGAATGAAACTAATTTAAAGGCTGAAAAAAGAAGTTAGGAAATGCAAAAGGGGATCCATATTGGAAGGCCCTACAAATAAGCTCTGAGTTTAAGACTATTTATAATTGTTGTATATTTAGGTAACCTGTCGAGCTATAGGTATTGGTGCCTATCTGGTTTGTTTGTAGCTTATAGATTGTACAATATTAAGGTAACCTGTCGATCTATAGGTATGGGTGCCTATCTGGTTTGTGTGTAGCTAACAGATTGTTTTATATTAAGGTAACCTGTCGATCTATAGGTATTGGTGCCTATCTTGTTTGTGTGTAGCTTACAGATTGTTCTATATTTAGGTAACCTGTCGAGCTAAAGGTATAGGTGCCTATCTGGTTTGTTTATTGCTTACAGATTGTTCTATATTTAGGTAACCTGTCAAGCGAAAGGTATAGGTGCCTATCTGGTTTGTAACTTACAGATTGTTCTATATTTAGGTAACCTGTAGAGCTATAGGTATAGGTGCCTTTCTGGTTTGTAGCTTACAGATTGTTCTATATTTAGGTTACCTGTCAAACTATAGGTATTGGTGCCTATCTGGTTTGTAGCTTACAGATAGTTCTATATTTAGGTTACCTGTCGAGCTATAGATATTGGTGCCTATCTGGTTTGTAGCTTACAGATAGTTCTGTATTTAGGTTACCTGTCGAGCTATAGGTATTGGTGCCTATCTGGTTTGTAGCTTACAGATAGTTCTATATTTAGGTAACTGTCGAGCTATAGGTATTGGTGCCTATCTGGTTTGTAGCTTACAGATTGTTCTATATTTAGGTAACCTGTCGAGCTATAGGTATAGGTACCTATCTGGTTTGTAGCTTACAGATTGTTCAATATTTAGGTAACCTGTCGAGCTATAGGTATAGGTACCTATCTGGTTTGTAGCTTACAGATTGTTCTATATTTAGGTTACCTGTCGAGCTATAGGTATAGGTGCCTATCTGGTTTGTTTATTGCTTACAGATTGTTCTATATTTAGGTAACCTGTCGAGCTATAGTTATAGGTGCCTATCTGGTTTGTAGCTTACAGATTGTTCTGTATTTAGGTTACCTGTCGAGCTATAGGTATAGGTACCTATCTGGTTTGTAGCTTACAGATTGTTCTATATTTAGGTAACCTGTCGAGCTATAGGTCTAGGTACCTATCTGGTTTGTAGCTTACAGATTGTTCTATATTTAGGTTACCTGTCGAGCTATAGGTATCGGTGCCTATCTATTTGTAGCTTACAGATTGTTCTATATTAAGGTAACCTGTCGAGCTATAGGTATAGGTGCCTATCTGGTTTTATAGCTTACAGATTGTTCTATATTTAGGTAACCTGTCGAGCTATAGCTATAGGTATAGGTGCCTATCTGGTTTTATAGCTTTCAGATTGTTCTATATTTAGGTTACCTGTCGAGCTATAGGTATAGGTGCTTACCTGGTCCGACTGGGACAGAGAACTATACAGGTGGAGAACTCCCACATCATCCTCACTGGTGCAGGTGCACTAAACAAGGTATGGAAGTTTCTTAGAGATGTACAAATCATTCCTTTGTAAAACAATGATTGCCCAATTGTTGCTCCTAACTCCCCCCCCCCCCATACAAACATGCACAAAAATAATGATTTCACTTTATAAATTGTATATTTATAAAAACACAGGTTCTTGGTAAGGAGGTGTACACCAGTAACAATCAGCTGGGAGGAATCCAGATCATGTACACAAACGGAGTCACTCACGACGTAACAGCTGATGACTTCGAGGGCGTCTACAAAATCATCAAGTGGCTGTCATACATGCCTAAGGTATTGTCCAGTGTTATATAGGTATTGTAATAATTGTCATTGGAGAATGGAGTGAAAGATAGTTGACAGAAAAACACATTTTTAATGAAGAAAAAAAAATTGCAGGATTTTTTTTGTTTTCACTTCTTTTTTTAAACTGAATTGTGGATTTAGTGTAAGGACTAGTCATTGAGTTTAATTTATCTGGATTATTGTTTTCAGTGTAAAGGTTCCCCATTACCAGTACTAGATACTGGGGACCCTATAGACAGACCGGTGGACTTTATACCCACAAAGGCCCCCTACGATCCCAGGTGGATGCTGAATGGCAGACAAAATCCAGGTAACATGGTACATTTATAATGTGTGTACAGACTCTGGATCTGTGTTAAAACATTTCATTTCTGAATCATCGATAATTTTTATAACTATTATGTTTATTATAGATGACAAGAATTCCTGGCAGAAAGGTTTCTTTGATCACAAGTCTTTCCATGAAATCCTACAGCCTTGGGCACAAACAGTTGTCACAGGTCGAGCAAGGTTTGTCTCCCTTTATGCATTTACTGAAGATGAATAATACATCCAAAATAATAAGTAAAACTTGTATCAAGAGAAGAGGAAATTTTGAGCTGTGTTTTATTTGTATGTGTGTGTTTTATAGGTTGGGCGGGATCCCTGTGGGGGTGATTTGTGTAGAGACCAGGACAGTAGAAATGACCATACCAGCCGACCCAGCCAATCTGGACTCTGAGACCAAGGTACAGATTAAGAGCCATTCTCTGTAATGATTTGAAATTTTATATAGGAGCTGTGGCACGCATAGTCTCAGAATTTCTCCAAACTCTCTTTGATAAAAGGCATTGATACCCTGAACTGAAATCAGGCAAAAATTGGTTGCTATGTTTTATAGTTACCATGGCAACATGTCTTAAAGTTCGAAAAATGGCATTTTTTAACATGTTTAGAGCCACATAGTTAACATTTGCGGCAAAGCAACTAATTGTTAATGACTGTTTCCAAAAGTTGAAGGTAAAATGTCTCAAATGCATGATAAACATGTTTGGTAAATCAACTATTACATACGTTACTATGGTAACAAAGTATTTAAAAGTAAAAAAAATATTCATTGAATTTTATGAAGTCATACTCGTAAAAATGAAAAGCAATTATAGGATGAAATGTTACCAAATAATAGAAAAAAGAGCGTTGAAACACATACCAAGAAAAAATATGATATTTCATTTTGGTTGGCAATGGTTGCCAAGGTTTTTATGCCCCAGAGAGACTTCAAAGTAACACTATGTATGTTTAAATATGATCCTATTTTTTATAAAAAGCACATTTCCTCATAACTAATGATCAATTTTATAAGATGTTGGTGTGCTCCAAATTTTCCCATTTCAAAAAATTCAGATTAGATTCTTTAAATAGAGCGTTGCTATGGAAATAAGCAGAAAATATATGCTTAAAAACCTGAAAAATATTTTGTTTCCTTGGATACGTACCCTTAAATGTAGATTCCCAAAACTTTTATGATTGATATTTATTAACAGCTAACTTGACTTTTAATTTTGACTATCATCCAATCTCTAAGTGGATGCAAGAAGTTGGCACACAGGGTTTAATATTGATATAAAGTTCAAAAAATCGAACATTTTCCCTTCTTGGTAACCATAGCAAAAGTGTTGTTTTATTCATCAAATTTTATCAATATATGATATTTAACTTCAGTTCTAACAGAAAAGACGATTCCAGCTGAGCTCTTTAATTTGTTTCTTGATTAAATGGCAATTTAATTCTTAATGCAGCGGGAAAAAAATCACTTTTAAGCACTGGTACTTTGTTTCCATGGTAACACTACAAAGTAGCAATTATACCCAATTTTTCTTATGGTTTTGGTGTTGCAAGGTCCTAAGGATGCATATTTGCCAGTCTTGAATTTTCATGTTTTTCCTCAAGACAGTAGCATTAACCCAATCTTAGTTACTGGTTTTGCATGGTTACACTGTGTTACCATGGCAACCATAAAAGTTATTTATAGAATAATATTGCTTATACTTATATACTTAAGGTCAAACATTTTCATTGTTTTTCTTAAGTCAATGATTGAGTTTTAGCATGTAACGTCTACCATTAGTGAATATGGAGTGTTTTTCAGCATATTTCAGCATTTTAAATGTATTCCAAATGTACCCTTGGTTACCACTTACTTAGAGATATATTCTAAACAGTTTCTTCACAGTATAAGTGACATCAAGGTGTCATGTTTTTGTTAGAATGGTTTGTTTGCTTTTTCTAGTTTTTATTAAGCCACAGTCAGGATTTAAAGTGGCTGAAAATCTCGATTTTTCAAACTTTTTCGGCTGTTGCCATAGCAACCGAGACACTTAGCAACGAAATTTTGTTTGATATTTGTTTCTGGTGTCAAGTACTAAGCATGGGTGAAGTTTCATCAAAATCGGTGACCATGCGTGGCAACGAAGTTTAAGTGGTTACAGAGAATGGCAATTAAAATCCTTATTTTCCTTTGTACGTCTTGTGTATTATCAGTGAATTAAGTCAAAACTTTGTTAAAATAAAACTAAGTTTTTTTGTAAAAAAAATTTTGGCTCCAAAATGTAATAATTTTAAATTTGAATTTTTTTTAAGATATGATATGATTTTAAACTGAGGATTCTTGTTAAAAGTATGAGACTTTAAAAATGAAATTTTGTTTGGATGAAATTGCACTTGTAGGTGATACAACAAGCTGGTCAGGTATGGTTCCCAGACTCGGCCTATAAGACAGCTCAGGCCATTAAGGACTTCAACAGAGAGGACCTCCCTCTCATGGTGTTCGCTAACTGGAGAGGATTCTCAGGCGGAATGAAAGGTACAGCATATTAATAAAGTCAGAAAATCATGGGATGATGGAAGTTTTCATACGCAACTCTGGTATTTTGTTCAAATTAATCTCTTGGAAGGATTTTGATACAAAATCTTGAAAGGTTTTTTACTGTACAGTAGCTGACTGAAAATTTTATGTTCAGCATGAGTTTAAAATATGCTGCAGCATTTTTAGAAACATGTTTATGAATGACAGATGTTTTACCTGTATTTGCTAGAAATTTATATGATATAATACTTAACTGTACAGTAAATACAACATTTTATAGCTTGATTGTTTTAATAGTAAGCAATGATATGTGCATTGAACATCTATTTGAATGTAACATTAAAAACTTTATTCCTGTTTTCAGACATGCATGACCAGGTACTGAAGTTTGGCTCCTACATTGTGGATGCTCTCACAGAATATAATCAACCCATTATGATTTACATACCCCCGTACGCTGAGCTGAGGGGTGGAGCCTGGGTAGTGGTGGACCCAACAATCAACCCCACCCACATGGAAATGTATGCGGATGAACTCAGCAGGTATGAAGTTTTGATTGAGGGATTAAAGAGAAGGGAACATTGAAGTATGAAATTCTGCTCTTAGCTGCATGGAGAAACTAAGATAATTATTCAAAGATACCAAGGCAAAAAAGTTTGTTCAATAAAAATATGGCTTGATTTTTTACTTACAATCACGCGTGCCTCCTTTGTAGGGAGAGGGCTAAAATAAGCTTTGCCTGCTGCCCATTTTTGAATAAAATATAATGTTGTATGAATTAAAAAAAAACAATCATCATCATGCTCAAATTTACTCAAAAAAAGAAAGAAAATTGAAAAGAAGAGAAAATGTTGAAATCTATCTTATTTCAAGTCTTCCAGAATTTTGTCTCAGAATGTATATGTAAGTCATTGTGATGATTTTATTCTAGGGGATTGTCCCCAAATGTACAGTCTAAATAATTATGATGATTTTATTCTAGGGGAGGTGTCCTTGAACCAGAGGGAACCGTAGAAATCAAGTTCAGGAGGAAGGACCTGGAGAAGACCATACAGAGACTGGACCAGACGTGTCGCCAGATCGTGGACAAACTGACCAGTCCACAGCTGAATCTGGACGAGAAGGAGGAGCTCCAGAAACAGCTGGCAGCTCGCCAGGAAAAGTTACTCCCCATGTACCACCAGGTGGCGATACAGTTCGCTGACCTCCATGACACTCCCGGGAGAATGGAGGAAATGGGGGTTATTACTGTGAGTGTAATTCAGTGAGATAAATGAAAAGAAATATTTCAAAATATATTTCTGACAATGATGTATCTTTATGACATTTTTTATTGACAACTATCAGATAAGCTTACATAGCTTAAATTTCATTTCTTTAGTTATAAGTATTTTTCTTCAAAGTTACACTTCTTATGTTTATAACTCCTGATCTGAAGCACAATGTATTAAGTTTCTTTTTGGTCACACAGGACATACTTAAATGGCAGAAGAGCCGTGAGTTCTTCTACTGGCACCTGAAGCGACGGTTGCTAGAGAGGCAGCTTAAGAAGAAGATGAAGCAGTTCACACAGAACGTCGGGGAGGGGGAGCTCAACTCTATGTTACATCGTTGGTTTGTGGAGGACAGGGGCACTGTCAATGTAAGTAGATTGGTTGTATCCTATTCATAGTTAGTTAACAAGTAAAATTAGTGTTACACAATATATTAAATGGTTTTCAGACCTAAACTTCACAATTGATTGATTGTTGTGTATTTTTTACAGACAAAACATAGAATATTGTAGTTTTTAAAACAGAAGAATAAACATATTTTGTCGTCAATTTACTTTGAATTTTGAAAGGTGTGTAATATTGAATGTATCAGAAATGTTAGTACAAGTACATTGAAGCAACTAAGGTGTGAAGAAAAAATAAAATTGCTTTGACAGTAAATGTTTTAATGACACTTTGTGAAGAAAAATTCAGGGTAATTGTTCGTGCTTTGTTAGGGCTTTATGATTGAGATAATCTCCTGACCAATCACTGATACTGTAGGCTTACCTATGGGAGGATGACAAAGCTATGGTGGAGTGGTTAACTGAACAGATCCGTGAGGACAGTATAGACAATGCTGTATCAGACAACATCAGATGTCTACAGAGGGAGCATGTCCTACAACAAGTCAGGAGGTAGGTATCAGGTGTCTACAGAGGGAGCATGTCCTACAACAAGTCAGGAGGTAGGTATCAGATGTCTACAGAGGGAGCATGTCCTACAACAAGTCAGGAGGTAGGTATCAGGTGTCTACAGAGGGAGCATGTCCTACAACAAGTCAGGAGGTAGGTATCAGATGTCTACAGAGGGAGCATGTCCTACAACAAGTCAGGAGGTAGGTATCAGATGTCTACAGAGAGAGCATGTCCTACAACAAGTCAGGAGGTAGGTATCAGATGTCTACAGAGGGAGCATGTCCTACAACAAGTCAGGATGTAAGTATCAGACAACATCAGATGTCTACAGAGGGAGCACGTCCTACAACTAGTCAGGAGGTAAGTATCAGACAACATCAGATGTCTACAGAGGAAACACGTCCTACAACAAGTCAGGAGGTAGGTATCAGATGTCTACAGAGTGAGCATGTCCTACAACAAGTCAGGAGGTAGGTCTCAGACAACATCAGATGTCTACAGAGGAAACACGTCCTACAACAAGTCAGGAGGTAGGTATCAGATGTCTACAGAGGGAGCATGTCCTACAACAAGTCAGGATGTAAGTATCAGACAACATCAGATGTCTACAGAGGGAGCATGTCCTACAACAAGTCAGGAGGTAAGTATTAGACAACATCAGATTTCTACAGAGGGAGCATGTCCTACAACAAGTCAGGAGGTAGGTATCAGATGTCTACAGAGGGAGCATGTCCTACAACAAGTCAGGAGGTAGGTATCAGACAACATCAGATGTCTACAGAGGAAACACGTCCTACAACAAGTCAGGAGGTAGGTATCAGATGTCTACAGAGGGAGCACGTCCTACAACAAGTTAGGAGGTAGGTATCAGATGTCTACAGAGGGAGCACGTCCTACAACAAGTCAGGAGGTAGGTATCAGATGTCTACAGAGGGAGCACGTCCTACAACAAGTCAGGAGGTAGGTATCAGATGTCTACAGAGGGAGCATGTCCTACAACAAGTCAGGAGGTCAGTATCAGACAACATCAGATGTCTACAGAGGGAGCACGTCCTACAACAAGTCAGGAGGTAAGTATCAGATGTCTACAGAGGGAGCACGTCCTACAACAAGTCAGGAGGTAGGTATCAGGTGTTTACAGAAGGAGCACATCCTACAACAAGTCAGGAGGTAGGTATCAGATGTCTACAGAGGGAGCATGTCCTACAACAAGTCAGGGGGTAGGTATCAGATGTCTACAGAGGGAGCATGTCCTACAACAAGTCAGGGGGTAGGTATCAGATGTCTACAGAGGGAGCATGTCCTACAACAAGTCAGGAGGTAGGTATCAGATGTCTACAGAGGGAGCATGTCCTACAACAAGTCAGGAGGTAGGTATCAGATGTCTACAGAGGGAGCATTTTCTACAAGTCAGGAGGTAGGTATCAGATGTCTACAGAGAGAGCACTTCCTACAACAAGTCAGGAGGTAGATATCAGATGTCTACAGAGGGAGCACGTCCTACAACAAGTCAGGAGGTAGATATCAGATGTCTACAGAGGGAGCACGTCCTACAACAAGTCAGGAGGTAGGTATCAGATGTCTACAGAGTGAGCATGTCCTACAACAAGTCAGGAGGTAGGTCTCAGACAACATCAGATGTCTACAGAGGAAACACGTCCTACAACAAGTCAGGAGGTAGGTATCAGATGTCTACAGAGGGAGCATGTCCTACAACAAGTCAGGATGTAAGTATCAGACAACATCAGATGTCTACAGAGGGAGCATGTCCTACAACAAGTCAGGAGGTAAGTATCAGATGTCTACAGAGGGAGCATGTCCTACAACAAGTCAGGAGGTAGGTATCAGATGTCTACAGAGGGAGCATGTCCTACAACAAGTCAGGAGGTAGGTATCAGACAACATCAGATGTCTACAGAGGAAACACGTCCTACAACAAGTCAGGAGGTAGGTATCAGATGTCTACAGAGGGAGCACGTCCTACAACAAGTTAGGAGGTAGGTATCAGATGTCTACAGAGGGAGCACGTCCTACAACAAGTCAGGAGGTAGGTATCAGATGTCTACAGAGGGAGCACGTCCTACAACAAGTCAGGAGGTAGGTATCAGATGTCTACAGAGGGAGCATGTCCTACAACAAGTCAGGAGGTAAGTATCAGACAACATCAGATGTCTACAGAGGGAGCACGTCCTACAACAAGTCAGGAGGTAAGTATCAGAAACATCAGATGTCTACAGAGGGAGCATGTCCTACAACAAGTCAGGAGGTAGGTATCAGGTGTTTACAGAAGGAGCACATCCTACAACAAGTCAGGAGGTAGGTATCAGATGTCTACAGAGGGAGCATGTCCTACAACAAGTCAGGGGGTAGGTATCAGATGTCTACAGAGGGAGCATGTCCTACAACAAGTCAGGGGGTAGGTATCAGATGTCTACAGAGGGAGCATGTCCTACAACAAGTCAGGAGGTAGGTATCAGATGTCTACAGAGGGAGCATGTCCTACAACAAGTCAGGAGGTAGGTATCAGATGTCTACAGAGGGAGCATTTTCTACAAGTCAGGAGGTAGGTATCAGATGTCTACAGAGGGAGCATGTCCTACAACAAGTCAGGAGGTAGGTATCAGATGTCTACAGAGGGAGCACGTCCTACAACAATTCAGGAGGTAGGTGATGGCTCAACTAGGGTTTGATAGCATTATTTCATTTCTTCATGTAGAGATGAAGTACAGCATACTAACAATATTAGGAACCAGACTGTCTGACTGAAAGGCTTTACATTCTGATATTTAAATATCAGTTTAATTAACCATAATTTATTGCTTGTTTGCACAGTCTAGAAATTCTGATAGTTGTTTTCTTCTCAAGGTAGATTAAATTTAGCTAAAATATCAGGTTTTTGACATAAGATTTACAGATTGTCTCCCTTTAATTGATAAAATAATGCTCTAATCTTACTTTAAAATTAACACACTTTGTTACTGTTTTCAGTTTGATACAAAACAATCCAGAGGTTGCCATGGATTCTATCGTCCACATCACACAACACATGACCTCAAGTCAAAGGTCAGAGGTCTCCAGAATTCTGGCCAACATGGACACGTGACCAGAATGGACAATTAGAATCAACAGTGACTGTATTTAAAAACATATCTATTTAACAAATCATATGAAATCATTAGGTGCAATTTGGATCAAATTTGCATAAAATTGCATTATATGAAATCCATATCTGTCATTCATAATGACTTAATTATTAGAATAAAATTATTGTTTATGAATTCGTTTTGTAATTCAATTCAGTATTATATGTGAACCATTACCAGGGTTTGTAAGTGATTATTTTTGTACTAATTTATTATTACTCTACCTATGATGAATATCATATATAGTGACCCTATTTAAACTAAGTTTTGTATATTCTGAATATTAATTTATTTACTGTTGAACAATTTGTCCATTTGTGTGCATTGAATTTCAGTAAGTGTAAGAGGTAAAGCCACGAAGGTGCAAAATCAGCCTACATTTTTTAAGAAATTTTAACTGTGGAAAAGGAGAAAAATAATAAGGAATATATTATCTTCTTGTGTTGTGCTCAAAAGGTTCACGTCATATTTTTCATTTGATGACGTCATAATTGAACAGTAAACGTCTAAACAAGTGCAATTTGGTGATTTTCAGCAAAATCAACCATTTTTTACATCTTTAACTCAAAATTTGACCTTGGCCACACCTTACGAACAAAATAAAATTAATGTCATTAAAAAGAGGATAAAAAAGTAAATACATAGGACACATTTTTATTTTGTTCGTCACATGTGGCCACATCGAAAAATTAACCTTTCTTTCCATATCAAACCTCTGAAAACTGACCATCACAGCGGATTTTCGAGAATATCTCATGATGTTACCAAATATAAAAAAAAATTGCTGTGCTTTCTACTTTAAAAATTTATCAAAATGAATTGTCTAGTGTAAAATATATTGGATTTTGTGTTTTGGTAGGAAAAAGGAAAACGAAAACCGTGTGCTTTACAAAATATTACAGCATGTAGTTTTGTCGACTTCTTTTTACCCCTACCGTGGTTAACCAAGACTTTTTCTAGACATAGCTAGCTGATTCATATTCAATTTATTATATTTACAATTCAGGGAAAAAAGTAATGTATACTCTTCTTTTATTTCTTTGTGTGAATTCCTTTTTTACAACTTGATCCCAACGCTCATCGCCATGTTCACTGTGTAATCAAAGGGAGATTACTCGTGAAACACTTCAAGAACCTAGACCTCATGATGTATGTGACGAATTATTGAATCTTCCACACCCATCTAAAATGGGGGACTTCATATTTATTTATTTATAGAATAAAGTATATTTACACAAGGTGCTGTCAACAAATTAATAATTTTTTCAATTGCAATACATGTAATTCTTTACATTTTACCGCAAAAGAACGTAATCGATATGAAATTTAATAGAGACGAGTTCAGTTAATGCTGTCAAAATAATCGATTAAGAGACTTTTCGAATGTTGTTTAAGTCTACAAATATCGTAATTACGAGTTTACTTCAGAATAGTTCGTTCTTGACCATGGCCATGTTGACATAAAAGACAACTCTCATAGCGAAAGTTGCAGACCGACGACCCCTTCGATTTGCACTTGTTTGCTCTTGAGGAACAATATAGAAAGTAAACATGAATTTGATGCAAATGGGCAACAGTTTAAGATACGTTTCTTTTCCCTGTCAAAACGATACGAACTGAGCTGATTTTCTTCATATTATGAAAATGATGAACGTCGAGACAGCGATTTTTAAACTTCACACTCGTGATCAGACAGTGACATAAACATTTTCATGACTCCGTCAGCTGGTCAGTTCACTTTGTTGTCAGTTTTGTTTTAATAAGTTAAATTTAAAGCTTCTTATATTCATGATTTAGCCAAAACAGACCAGAAAGTGCTTTAATTGTGTACATACGATAACATGGAAGCCTGATCAACAAAGAAAGGGGTTCTGATTGAAAAAAAAATCATTGATGTGTAAACTTTTTCTTAAACTTGCTCTCGTCCAATCAAAACACGGGAAATCAATAGTTAAAATGAAGATTGGAATTATATACCTGTATTTAAGATCAAAAGAATAATAAACATGTATGTGTCAAAATTTATATCAACCCCCGAACAATATTAGGCCTGGAGCCTCCCTTCCTCGGACTCGTACATGTATGGTATTTGGTCTGTTCATCCTATCAATCTATTCACACAGAGTCCGCTCTCCTTCGATCATTGTAAATAATTTGTGTACAACAGTTACATTACCTTTGAAATTAAGTACTAAGGGTCTTGGCTAGATATATATACAGGATATGATAGTCATACATGTGAGACCATTGAGATATTTGATTATTAAAAGTCGGATGCGTTGATAAGCTGCTCAAAATGTAATTTTACTTTTTTCCCCTTTTAGTTTTCATTAATTTCATATACTAGTATCCTGTTCGAGTTCAAAGTCGGATGCGTAAAGGTCATCTCAAATATAGCTAATCTGTAAAAAGTTTTTTTTAAGTCTACTGCAGTACATGTAAAATAGGGAATCCACAGTTTTCACGTATTTCTTAGTCGTGTGATTGTTATATCGGGGGCAGCGGTCCTACTAAACAGAGTACGCTATAGTACTATAGAGTACTTTAGAGTACGCTAGCAATATTTTATAATATAATGCAATTAAACTACTTTTTGTATGCTTTTCTACTTTAGTTTTATATACATTTTTTTAAAATTGTTTGTTTTCTGTATTTTAGGAGTTATTACAATTTTTGATTTTAGGTTACGGTTGATCGTTTGATTCTGATCTAATTTAACTGAAACATGTTAAAATGTCTCATTGTGAATGTGAAAATTATTTACGCATGCAATTAATTTAATATTTGAAAAATTTTTAGATGTAAGTCTTTAGTAAGAAAGTCTGAAACAATTCAGTAATCGAGATTGGGGTATCAGCTATAGGTATACCGTAATCTTTCATGCGTTTAATTCTGGATATTATTTCTTGTCAAAATATCGCTAAAAAACAAATATTTGAAAAAGTCTAAAAGCTATTTCGTGGTGGTGGTGGTATTGCTTGAAATTTTTCACTTTTCATACCCATTTCACACGAATTTTTGTTTACCAGGGGGGTGGTTAAAAATTTCCCAAGGGGGTCCAAGATAACCTTTTTCTTGCTCCAATATATAATTTAATAATCTTGCAAATTCCAGGGAGGCGGGCTGGGGGGGCATGCCCACTCTAGACCCGCCCACGAATCTGTGTGTGTGTTGTGTGTGTGTGTGTGTGTGTGTGTGTGTGTGTGTGTGTGTGTGTGTGTGTGTGTGTGTGTGTGTGTGTGTGTGTGTGTGTGTGTGTGTGTGTGTGTGTGTGTGTTGTGTGTGTGTGTGTGTGTGTGTGTGTGTGTGTGTGTGTGTGTGTGTGTGTGTGTGTGTGTGTGTGTGTGTGTGTGTGTGTGTGTGTGTGTGTGTGTGTGTGTGTGTGTGTGTGTGTGTGTGTGTGTGTGTGTGTGTGTGTGTGTGTGTGTGTGTGTGTGTGTGTGTGTGTGTGTGTGTGTGTGTGTGTGTGTGTGTGTGTGTGTGTGTGTGTGTGTGTGTGTGTGTGTGTGTGTGTGTGTGTGTGTGTGTGTGTGTGTGTGTGTGTGTGTGTGTGTGTGTGTGTGTGTGTGTGTGTGTGTGTGTGTGTGTGTGTGTGTGTGTGTGTGTGTGTGTGTGTGTGTGTGTGTGTGTGTGTGTGTGTGTGTGTGTGTGTGTGTGTGTGTGTGTGTGTGTGTGTGTGTGTGTGTGTGTGTGTGTGTGTGTGTGTGTGTGTGTGTGTGTGTGTGTGTGTGTGTGTGTGTGTGTGTGTGTGTGTGTGTGTGTGTGTGTGTGTGTGTGTGTGTGTGTGTGTGTGTGTGTGTGTGTGTGTGTGTGTGTGTGTGTGTGTGTGTGTGTGTGTGTGTGTGTGTGTGTGTGTGTGTGTGTGTGTGTGTGTGTGTGTGTGTGTGTGTGTGTGTGTGTGTGTGTGTGTGTGTGTGTGTGTGTGTGTGTGTGTGTGTGTGTGTGTGTGTGTGTGTGTGTGTGTGTGTGTGTGTGTGTGTGTGTGTGTGTGTGTGTGTGTGTGTGTGTGTGTGTGTGTGTGTGTGTGTGTGTGTGTGTGTGTGTGTGTGTGTGTGTGTGTGTGTGTGTGTGTGTGTGTGTGTGTGTGTGTGTGTGTGTGTGTGTGTGTGTGTGTGTGTGTGTGTGTGTGTGTGTGTGTGTGTGTGTGTGTGTGTGTGTGTGTGTGTGTGTGTGTGTGTGTGTGTGTGTGTGTGTGTGTGTGTGTGTGTGTGTGTGTGTGTGTGTGTGTGTGTGTGTGTGTGTGTGTGTGTGTGTGTGTGTGTGTGTGTGTGTGTGTGTGTGTGTGTGTGTGTGTGTGTGTGTGTGTGTGTGTGTGTGTGTGTGTGTGTGTGTGTGTGTGTGTGTGTGTGTGTGTGTGTGTGTGTGTGTGTGTGTGTGTGTGTGTGTGTGTGTGTGTGTGTGTGTGTGTGTGTGTGTGTGTGTGTGTGTGTGTGTGTGTGTGTGTGTGTGTGTGTGTGTGTGTGTGTGTGTGTGTGTGTGTGTGTGTGTGTGTGTGTGTGTGTGTGTGTGTGTGTGTGTGTGTGTGTGTGTGTGTGTGTGTGTGTGTGTGTGTGTGTGTGTGTGTGTGTGTGTGTGTGTGTGTGTGTGTGTGTGTGTGTGTGTGTGTGTGTGTGTGTGTGTGTGTGTGTGTGTGTGTGTGTGTGTGTGTGTGTGTGTGTGTGTGTGTGTGTGTGTGTGTGTGTGTGTGTGTGTGTGTGTGTGTGTGTGTGTGTGTGTGTGTGTGTGTGTGTGTGTGTGTGTGTGTGTGTGTGTGTGTGTGTGTGTGGTGTGTGTGTGTGTGTGTGTGTGTGTGTGTGTGTGTGTGTGTGTGTGTGTGTGTGTGTGTGTGTGTGTGTGTGTGTGTGTGTGTGTGTGTGTGTGTGTGTGTGTGTGTGTGTGTGTGTGTGTGTGTGTGTGTGTGTGTGTGTGTGTGTGTGTGTGTGTGTGTGTGTGTGTGTGTGTGTGTGTGTGTGTGTGTGTGTGTGTGTGTGTGTGTGTGTGTGTGTGTGTGTGTGTGTGTGTGTGTGTGTGTGTGTGTGTGTGTGTGTGTGTGTGTGTGTGTGTGTGTGTGTGTGTGTGTGTGTGTGTGTGTGTGTGTGTGTGTGTGTGTGTGTGTGTGTGTGTGTGTGTGTGTGTGTGTGTGTGTGTGTGTGTGTGTGTGTGTGTGTGTGTGTGTGTGTGTGTGTGTGTGTGTGTGTGTGTGTGTGTGTGTGTGTGTGTGTGTGTGTGTGTGTGTGTGTGTGTGTGTGTGTGTGTGTGTGTGTGTGTGTGTGTGTGTGTGTGTGTGTGTGTGTGTGTGTGTGTGTGTGTGTGTGTGTGTGTGTGTGTGTGTGTGTGTGTGTGTGTGTGTGTGTGTGTGTGTGTGTGTGTGTGTGTGTGTGTGTGTGTGTGTGTGTGTGTGTGTGTGTGTGTGTGTGTGTGTGTGTGTGTGTGTGTGTGTGTGTGTGTGTGTGTGTGTGTGTGTGTGTGTGTGTGTGTGTGTGTGTGTGTGTGTGTGTGTGTGTGTGTGTGTGTGTGTGTGTGTGTGTGTGTGTGTGTGTGTGTGTGTGTGTGTGTGTGTGTGTGTGTGTGTGTGTGTGTGTGTGTGTGTGTGTGTGTGTGTGTGTGTGTGTGTGTGTGTGTGTGTGTGTGTGTGTGTGTGTGTGTGTGTGTGTGTGTGTGTGTGTGTGTGTGTGTGTGTGTGTGTGTGTGTGTGTGTGTGTGTGTGTGTGTGTGTGTGTGTGTGTGTGTGTGTGTGTGTGTGTGTGTGTGTGTGTGTGTGTGTGTGTGTGTGTGTGTATGTGTGTGTTTGTGTGTGTGATAGTGTGTGTGTGTCTTTCAACCGAAAATTTCTTGATTGAAGATAATCTTTCAACCGAAAATTTCTTGACAAAGTAAAAACGTTGGGAGGGGGAGGGGGCTTTGACTTTTAAAGCTTCATATCTTTGACTTTTACTACCAATTTCACATAAATCACATTTTCAATGAGGGATGTGTATTTTTACGTAGGGGTCTAAGGTCACTTTTAATAAACTTTGTATTTACATTTTCACTTTCGCTAATTCCAAGGGAGTGAGAGGGTCTAGAAAGTATTTCACTGATGCACGTACATGGAATTAATTGCCCTTAGAGTTTGGTAAGACGGCAATAAATCTGGTACACATGTACAAGTATGTACAAATGTATGGGGCCTTTTATAAACAAACTCTTACATTATTCAACTGCATGAAAATACATACTGTAACTATGAAATCATTTCAATTGTCTGCATTAATTGATAGCATCATTCAATACTACCAGATGTTTGTCCGTATGTTTTGTCTATCAGCAGACAGGAACCAAGACAGGATTCTTCTTAGTTCGGGCCTGCAGATAGCAATTACAATTACAGTTGGAGGGGGGGGGGGGGGGAGGTACAGTCACATTTCTACAGCTGGGGTCACTATCAACTACCAAAATTTCCTCAAAAAACAAAAAACAAAAAAAAAAAATCAGACGTATTATCAATGGACACAAGCATATACTACCTATCTTTTCTAAAGTATTTTATATGTCGGCAAGATTAGGGGGGGGGGGGGATTTTAAGGTTCACGTTTAATTGCTGTCTTTGCTCTTTGGTGCACCGAAATGTCATCATTTCCGTCTATTATGCTGCACTATTTCATCGGAGACGTCTGGGGAACTGCTTAAAACTTTTTAAAAGTGCATTCAAATGGACGACCTGATAAATGACGTCATCAACCTGCTTTTTTTTTTAATTTTATAATATACATGTACATGTATGTTATTTATTCTATACGTAATCTCGGGTGAAACCTTTTTTTAATTCCTTTTTCCCTTTATAAATATTAATTATTTTTGTGAACTTGGATTCTCACGATAAGAAAATACTAAGCGGTATAAAGTCTTTAACATCATTTATTTAAGAAAAAAAAATAATGAAAAATTACATCATCTAAAAAATTGCTAAAAATTCCAGCTTAGTACACGTAACCTCTCTTTTTTCACAACAAAAACAACACGCCCACCTCACCATCCCCTATAACACTCGATAAAATATTCAATATTATTCTTATTCTACTCTTGTGAATGATTTTCCATCAGTGTAAATTTGTTACCTCTTATAAATAATTTCAACGTCCTGTATTTAACGTGTTTAACGTCAACGTCATGACGTTAACGTATTTCATTCGAAAAAACAATGCTTATTTTAAACACCTGTAAAATGAAAACTATAAAAGATATAGTTAAAACATAAACTGTTCTACAACGTACACATACTAGACTGTCATTCAACAAAAATTCATAAATGTTGAATACGGTGCGGATTTTGATGCTTCGTGGCTCTTGTTCTTTGGTATATTGAACACAAATTTAATAATTGAATGTAAAAGTGATATATTGCTTCACCTAGCAATGTGGTGAATTTTAATAAAAAGATGTCAATAATTATTGCATATTTTTTGTTTTCCTTACATGGTTAAGGAAGAAAATGTAGGAATTAAGGACAGATGATACAAACAAAAAATGGATGCCTGGATTGGTAAATATTTCTTGACTAAATTTCACTGCAAATGATGCAAATAATAAATTTCTAGAATATAAAGAAAATGTAAACCTTCTGTGACATTCAAATGCTACCCTTCTGAAGCCATCTTTATTATTCTATACGAATATTTTTCACTTCAAATTCCATTTTTGTGCAATTTTGAATAAAAATTTTAAAAAATATGCGGTGAAATTTATTTATTTTATACATTTAAACATGACACAAATGACTTTTTTCAAAATTTTTGACAAAAAATTGTATCATCTGTCCTTAACTGTTTAGTTTTTTCCTCTCACTTAAACAGATGGTTAGAGATATAGGATATAATGCTTCTGATGTCTGTACTAATATAGACAGGATATGTAAAGATCATTTGTGTTTTCCATCTCATTTTAGCTACACAAATACTAGAGAGGGAAGTTAAAACTTTTAAAATTAGATAAAGGCTGGTAGTATACAGTGGTAGAAGGAGGGGGCTACCCCCCCCCCCCCCCCCATGTTATCTTTTGGTATAGAAATTTTCATTTTGATGCTCTGATTCTGATTGGCTGCTTCACTTTTTTGTTGCCACCATCCCTTTGAAAAGAGTTTTGAGTTTTAAAAGTTTAAATGTTTTGTTTCTTTATTTTTAGCTCTACTGGTTGAAGACCAGATGAGCTTATGTGATAGTAAGGTGTCTGTCTGTCCCTCACCCAATTAAATCCGTTGTTACAGTCCTGTACAGTGAATGGTTGTCGCTACTGTCTATCTTATCAACTAAGTGTTCTTTGATACAAGATTTCATCTCGTATTATACTGACACTGTGGTGAATGCAGAATTGTTTTTCCGGATGTTTTTTGAATTTTATTATAGTTCTTCTGTTGTTTACATGTGCTCGAGAATTATTTGTCTTTTCCATCTCATTTTAGCTACACAAATACTAGAGAGGGAATTCAAAACTGTTAAAATTAGATAAAGGCTGGTAGTATACAGTGGTGGAAGGAGGGGGCTGACCCCCTATGTGTTTCTGAATATTTATCTTTCGATATTGAAATTTTCATTTTGATGCTTTGATTGGCTGCTTCACTTTTCTGTTGCCACCATCCCTTTGAAAAAAGGGTTTTGAGTTTTAAAAGTTTAAATGTTTTGTTTCTTTACTTTTAGCTCTACTGGTTGAAGACCAGATGAGCTTATGCGATAGTAAGGTGTCTGTCTGTCCCTCACCCAATTAAATCCGTTGTTACAGTCCTGTACAGTGATTGGTTGTTGCTACTGTCTATCTTATCAACTTAGTGTTCTTTGATACAAGATTTCATCTCGTATTATACTGACTCGCATAAGAAATACAACAAGCAGTGAAATACAAATATCTGAATATTTTGTGTAATGATTTTCAAAAATGAAGACAGTAGGTAAAACTTTATTTCGAAACATCAAAGCTTTCATTAGAATGTTGAATGTCATCTTTTAAATTCAGAAGGTAACACATAACTGCCCTACCCCCTTCCCTTTGCCATTCCCAGCATGCAAAACCGCCATACACAATAAATGCAGCCAGATTTTTCCCATACATTAGATTTATCACTCTCTTGATCAGAACAAAAGAATGAAATCTTTGGAGTATAAGTGCCTCAGATGCTGAAGTCGAATTTTCTCGAACCTGTCGCAGTGAAGTAACCCTTGGACCTCCAGACCACAGACCGTCTTTTATGCGAATATTACACATAAATGACTGTTAAAAAATCTTCTTCTTAAGCTCATTTCTCTGTTGACTGAATATTGTCGAACTTCTGTACATACAGTGACTAAGGACTGTACACTTAAAAGTCTGTATTCACAATTAAAAACCAAGGTCGTCTTGACTCGGGTGTCTGGATCCCTGCCTTGAAGGTCCCTAGGGTTGGCAAGACAGTTATTGTGTTCCACAGGCGGATAGCCGTATTGTGTTTGGCAGGGTGTTCCACGGGCGGATGGCCGAAGAGAAGATGAGTCTTGATCCGGGAGTGCTGCACACGATGAATCTAGATCTCATCAAATATACACTACTAATTAAGACATTTTAACTATTATAGTTTACTCAGATTGTTGATTTATGTTGTTGTTCAGTATAATTTGGCTGTGTATATACATGTATTAAACATGTATTACCAGTAAACTAAAAGGGTGTTCCACGGGCGGATGGCCGAAGAGAAGATGAGTCTTGATCCGGGAGTGCTGCACACGATGAATCTAGATCTCATCAAATATACACTACTAATTAAGACATTTTAACTATTATAGTTTACTCAGATTGTTGATTTATGTTGTTGTTCAGTATAATTTGGCTGTGTATATACATGTATTAAACATGTATTACCAGTAAACTAAATGCTCTCTTTTCTGTTTTGCAGGCTGTTTGGGCTGGCTGGGACCATGCTTCAGAGATTCCAAAGTTACCAGAACTCCTCCATAGAAATGGAATCATATTTATCTGTAAAATTAATCAATTTTAAGACACACTCTTAGGTATCATTGTCTGTAGACACTGTATCATATATTTTGTGGAAATTATTTTTGAGTGTATTTTGTAAAGAAATACTAATTTGTTATTTGTCTAACTCGATTCACATAAGGTGTAGAGTAATCTTTCTTGTTTTTGTACAGGTCCACCAGAGGGAGCTATGTGGGCCCTGGGGGACAAGATTGCCTCCTCTATTGTAGCCCAGACAGCAAAAGTCCCCACCATGCCATGGAGTGGATCAGGTATTTTATATAATTTATATCAATGTTCACTAATGATTTTATTAAAAATAATTAATTAATTAAAAAAGTCATTTTTTTGAAGAGTGTAAAAAATGAGATTGAAATATACTTAATATATACTTGTATAATGCTGTAATATTGTAATTCTCATTGCTGTCATGGTATAATGAGATTCATGTCACAAATTTATTACATTCACTAAATGATAAAACTTGAAGAAATATCATGTTAATGTTAATATCTTTAATGTCACAATCACAAAAAACAAATCTCCTAAAACCAGTCTTTTCTTCCCTAAACCATGTAAATTGGACCCCATGAAGATAACTTTAGTGAACATTTTCATTCCAGGCTTGACCCTGAACTACTCTAAGAGTGACAATAAGCCTGTGAACGTGCCCCAGGACCTCTACAGGAAGGGGTGTGTCGCGGACGTGGACGAGGGTCTGAAATCAGCCAATCAGATCGGGTTTCCTGTGATGATCAAAGCCTCGGAGGGAGGGGGAGGGAAGGGCATCAGGAAGGCAGAGAATGCCGACGACTTCCCCAATCTCTTCAGACAGGTATGGAATAGAAAGAGTTATTTTGTATTTATCGTGTTAGGGCCTAAAGAATTGCAAGAAGACTTAAGCAAGTGAAGAATAAAGAGAGAAACCTTATAATAGAAATTATAGTGAGATGCAAATTCATAGAGTTTATTCCAAAAAAATATGGTGAAATTATGTTTTAAGTGAGAGGTAGTTTTAACAGTTTTATAATGTAAAGAGAGATAGTGATAACAATTAGAAAGGAATAAAAAGTATAGGCAAATGGATATTCAATTTTAGCCCCCTCAGATCCCTTGTTGATAATGCCAAATTGAAATCGGTGTTAAATCTGCTTATAAAGAAATACACTCATTTTGCTTTCCAACAGAATTTTTTCAATATTGAGTTTCAATTCTAAGCTTTTATCAACAAGTTCTCTAATTTTGATGGATCTAAAAGAAAAGAGGAATCCTGTGTTCTAAATATAGGTGCAGGCTGAGGTTCCGGGATCCCCCATCTTCATCATGAAGCTGGCGACCCACGCGCGTCACCTGGAGGTACAGATCCTGGCCGATAACTACGGTAACGCCATCTCTCTGTTTGGGAGGGACTGCTCCATCCAGAGGAGACATCAGAAGATCATTGAGGAGGCGCCCGCCTCTATAGCCAAACCAGAGGTGTTCGAAAAGATGGAACAGGTAATTAGAGCTTTGGGGTTACTGTGGTAAAAGTCTGTTTAACTATAAACTATTTCAAGACTTTGTATGCCAAGTAAAATACTATATTCTCCCTCATAGTATAGAAAATACTTTTCTTTCAATTATGTAGTTTCAAAATACAGTCTAACTTTAATACCTTTAATACTAATATTACGAATATTAATATCCCGAAGTGATTTTGAGGTCCCCAACATTCAATTCTTTAAATGTTCCACCCATGCTTCGCAAATCCTTATTTACTTTTACATATTTTCTCAATCCAATTGAGTTTGGGATAACAAGAATTGACTGTCAATGAACTCTGAGACATTGAGCAAGAGAAAAATTCATTGGTCACGAATTATCATTATATAGCTATTAATGTATAATTATTTTTCCTCTAGGCTGCAGTGACCCTGGCTAAGATGGTGCGGTACGTCAGTGCCGGTACGGTGGAGTATCTGTATAATGTGTGTATTATATTTTCTCTGTAGGAGAGACTTTATAATGAGGAGACAGAGACGTTCCACTTCCTGGAGCTCAATCCACGTTTACAGGTGGAACATCCGTGTACGGAGATGGTGGCCGACATCAACCTACCGGCCGCTCAGTTACAGGTAAAGGGAAACGAGGACAGATTGCCATCGCTGTTTTTTGAAATTTTGTAGTTAACGTTATAGAAGTGTATATTAGGATGAAATAAAGATTCTCTTAGTAAATAAATCTCCATGTGTGGAATAATGTTTTTATGTCATGCCATGAATATGGCTGGGGCATATAGTGTTTGTCATGAAAGTCTTCCGTCTTTCCGTCCTTCTGTCCTTCCGTCTTTCCGCACACTTTATGTTTAGCTCTGTTCAAATTTAAGTTTCAAAGACACTATCCAAGATATTTTCATCAAACTTCATATGCTGATAGATATTGATGAGAGCTATGCAACTTCATCAACATTTTTTTACCTCGACCTTTCATTTGACCTCACTTTTCTTAAATTAGTGTTAAGCTCAGATTTAAACATACAATTCAAGATGGTGTAATCAAACTTCACATGTTGATACAACCTTGCATGGAAGATGCATCTCAGGATGAACACTACCAGACTCGCTTCCCGAGTCGGTTGCTGGATCTGACCTACATTTTTCAGATGAGTGACCAGGTTTTTGGAGCAGGTCCATTCCTAAAGAACTATAACCCCAACTTAGACCAAACTTGCATGGATGATGCATTTAGGGATGGACACTACCAGATTTGCTTCGGATGCTGGATCTGACTTATATTTTAGTTCCCAAGTTAATTCAAGCCGTACCTGAACCAAACTTGATTGGATGATGCATCTAATGCATCGAAATTGTTCAATGTTGTGCCATGACAATACGTTGCTCTCATAAATGTAGAATCAATGTACATACCGTACATATTAAATACAACTATACGACAATGTGCATGTTGGAAATTAACCAAGAGACCATGTTTAGATATATACGCTATATATAAAGATTGCTCCCAAATTATATACACCAACATGTAAACTGAACAAAACCCAGTGGACTTTATTTATTTATCAACTGTTAAATTATTCAGTATAAAAATTGACTGAAAATATATCATTTGAATTTACGAATAAGCATAGTTGTATAACAACTAGATTATTTTCAAACTATAGTGTCTTTTAAACTTAACAGTTATTGTTTAACTCATTAATTCATTTAATTCCTTTCCATTACACCACTGATAAACACAATTCAAGATGTCTACTTTTTTAATAATGAAAAATAATAGAAAAAGACATGTAAACAAACAGAATGGTTGTATAAAAAATACATTGTACTTAACTGCAATGTTATTTTTTGTATTTTACTGTGGATACTTGTACACTGTCAGTGTGTTGGTGTTAGATTGTCCCACATAGAGATTGTTCTCATCATCCACACACACACTACGGGGATACTTTACCCCTTGTTGTTGTGTGAGTAATAGAGACAAGAACTGACCGTCCTGATCAAGGAGGTGAACAGTGTCACTGATATCATCACACACCAGGATGTGACCGAGGACATCAGTACAGATTCCATAGGGACGGAACCCTGACTCCTGACCTGTGTAGGAGAACCTGTGTTGTCCTGATTTATTCACCACCACTACTGCCTTGTTATTAAAGTCTGATGTACAGATATCTCCATTGATGTTTTCTGTGATGTAGCGTGGATATCTATACAGTTCTTGTCCTTTGTTATCCCTCTGTATGTTCTGTAGTTCTTTTCCTGTCTTGTTGTACCTGGTCACTTTAGCCCCTAAGATAGCCTGTATTATCGCACTTGTATTCAATTTGGTAGTCTTTATCATCCCCACCAGTAAGTCCCCGTTGATGTGGGAGGAGTGTATGCTTAGTGGTTCCCAGTCTCCAGTTTTACTGAATTCAGTGATTTTATTATCCTGTGTTATCCTATTGATGACTTTCTTGTCTTGGTCTGTAAAGATCAGACCCCCGTCCTGTGTGACTGTGTGGTAACCTTTGTATTTACCACTGGTTTTTATCTTCTGTATCACATTTCCCTGTAGATCTGTTTGGACAAGATTACCCATATAGTCACTGATCCAGAGTCTGTCAGATTGATCTAGTGATACATGGAATACATCATTAACACCTGGTACATTGAACTCCCTGACCTTGGTGACAGAGGCAGATAGAGACATTGTTTGTTTCTTGTCAGATTTCTTTCTGTCTTCTTTCATCTGTTTATGTGTAGGTTTCATTGCTGTATTGTAGACACTTTCAATGGGCCTTATTTCTCTCTTCTCTGCTATGGTGTTGCGGACATGTATTTTTCCAAGTAATTTGGTGACATCACTTTTGCTGTATTGACCAGCAGTAAATCCTGGTGTGACTGGTTTTGTTGTCTCTGGTATGGGTCGGATCTTTGGTTTCTTCTCAGACATTAATTTCTGGGTTACTGTAGAGGACAGGCATCTGTGGAGCTCTTTGGAAAGGTTATTAAGATAAGTGATGTAATCATCCATGGTCTTCTCTTGGGTGTGTAGATCTTTTAACAGTGAATGCTCTATCTGGTCTAACTGCTTCATGTTCTCAGATATGACTGTGTCTACCAGACTTTTCAGGGACTCACCTTCAGTCTTCATGGATGTTCTGATGTTGTCCATAAAGTGTTTGATTTCTGAGGAATCTTTTTTAATTTCTTTCTGTAAATCTTGTGATGTAGGGAGAAAGTACTCATGAATTTTTGAGATTTTCTGCTGGAAGAGAGCAAATTTTTCTGTGTAGACTATTTCAAGATCAACAAATTTATGCCTTTCATGGTCTCCCACTGTTGCACATTTAGAACATAATGGGACTTGGCATTCTTCACAGAGCATGTCCACATCTTTAGTGGGGTGGATCTTGCATTTCTCCACAGGAAGTTGTCGTTCACGTTGCTGGTAAAGGACCACCTCATGGTTCTTGTTTTCTGGACTTTTCAGATGTTCATCTCTGCATTGTTTACACAATTTTTGATGACAAGGGTTGCAATAGAACTCGCAGTTTCTTTCACAGTCTTCAATGCCGCATTCTAAAAAGTGCTGGGCTGTGCCGGGAATATCAATTTTAGATAACGCCATCTGAAAAAATAGGAATACCCAGTATATGTTTTATACATATGTTCTTATCTATATTTGTTTTAGAAATATGGGAAAACAGATATTATTTGTAACTATATAAACATGTCAACAGTGATGTTATAATCATGCATTCAATTTGCTAATATTCTAGTACATCAATAAATTTTATCTTGGTTTTTATTCCATCATTCATATAAATAATGATTTAAATTAAATTAAATGACCTTTATTGTACATGTATACTTACAGCTTTTATGAATGACCGACAAATGACATTGTTCACAGCTAGACTTTGGAATGTCAAATGAGATTTCAGTTGAGATTTGAACGAGATTTGTAATTTACTTCCTGGATAAACTAGAGATAAATATAGATTTAAATACCCATACCTGAGGTGTTTAACAGAGCAAACATTTGCCAGCGCTCGCAAAGTTCTTTATACCTCGATCCATTAAAAAGCTTCTATGAAGTCACCCATTTTTAAAAGTCTATTACTGTATATATTTAAGGAATGTTTTTAAGTTTAGCGTGAATTATTGGTGTGTGAAAAATCACACTGACTTGTTACTTTAGCATTTTTCATGAAGCGTGCTAGCACTTCATGAAAAATATGCCTTATACTAACCAAGGTACATTTTCAGTGTCTAAAAGCACCAAAACTATATAGCTACAATATATATTTCCAACTGACACAAACTATATTTTGGAATTTGCAGTATATTATTGTTACTCATGTCTGTCCATCCACCCATCTAGCTGTCCATTTATCCGTCTGCCACATTTTCTTCCATGAAATACTCTTACATTTTTCACAGTAATCATCTTGGGTGGATATTTGGTGGTGTCATGTAGATGTGGAGTAAGGTTTCAGAATTTTCATTTGATATATAGTTCACATGAATTTTAGAAGTGGAACTTTGACAATTTTTATTCAGACACTTACTGATGAAAAAGAAAATATTATTTGCAATTGATGCATAAATATAGTTGCATAATACAGTATTTTATATGTTGTATATTTTGTGTATTACAGATTGCTATGGGTCTGCCCCTGTACCGGTTGAAGGACATCAGACAGCTGTATGAGGTGGATACGTGGGGGGACAGTCCTATTGATTTCTCTAACCCCTCCATACACCCCCGACCCCGGGGCCATGTCATAGCAGCCAGAATCACCAGCGAAAACCCGGACGAAGTAAGATTCTTTAAAAAGACATCAAAATATACTTCTGTGAAGTGAGAATGAAAAACTCGATCAACATGTCAGGAAATAGAATTATATCTCTTGTAGAGCTAATTCAAAGGAGAAAAAATGTTGCCTTTCTTAATTTTTATTAGGTCACCTGAGTAAACTCAGGTGACCTATTGCTATCCGTTTTCGTCCGTCGTCGTCCGTCGTGCGTCGTCCGTCGTGTGTTAACATTTGAACATTTTCAGCTTCTTCTCTGCAACCACTGAACCAATTTCAACCAAATTTGGCACAAAGCATGTTTGGGTAAAGGGGAACAAAAATTGTGAATTTCATGATCCTTGCCCCCCAGGGGCCTGAGGGGTGGGGCCAAAACCACTAAAATTAATGCAATCTTTAAAAATCTTCTTCTTTACTCCTGGACATCAAGCAGTCAAACTATTTGCATGATTGTAATCAGCATTGAGTCCTCTTCCAAAATTGTGAAATTCATGGCCCTGGGGTCAGGGGTTCTAGTGTTAGGGTGGGGCTAAATAAGTATATAGTGAAAATGCATTATTTCTTTGAAAATCTTCTTCTCTGCTCCTGGGTATTAAATAAACTTACTAAGTACATAGTTATGATGAGCAAGAGTGCCTCTACCAAATTTTTGAATTTTATGGCCCCAGGGTCAGGGGTTCTAGTGTTAGGGTGGGGCTCTATTGATTATATAGTAAAAATACATGATTTCTTTTAAAATCTTCTTCTCTGCCCCTGGGTATTAAATAGACCAAGTAAGTAAATAGTTATGATGAGCAAGAGTGCCTCTACCAAAATTGTGAATTTTATGGCCCCAGGGTAAAGGGTTCTGGTGTTTGGGGGGGGGGGTCATAGATTATATAGTGAAATTACATGAACTCTTTGAAAATCTTCTTCTCTGCTCCTAGGTATTAAATAAACTAACTAAGTGCATATTTATGATGATAAAGAGTGCCTCTACCAAAATTGTGAATTTTATGGTCCCAGGGTCAAGGGTTCTGTGGTTGGGGGGGGGGGGGACTCTATTGATTATATAGTGAAATTACATGAATTCTTTGAAAATCTTCTTCTCTGCTCTTAGGTATCAAATTAACTAAGTACATAGTGATGATAAGCAAGTGTTCCTCAACTAAGATTGTGAATTTTATGGCCCCAGGGTCAAGGGTTCTGGTGTGTGTGTGTGGGGGGGGGGCTCTATTGATTATATAGTGAAAATATGTGAATTCCTTGAAAATCTTCTTCTCTGCTCCTAGGTATTATATAAACTAACAAAGTGCAAAGTTATGATGAGCAAGTGTGCCTCAACCAAAATTGTGAATTTAATGGCCCTATCATCAAGGGTTCTGGTGTGGGGGGGGGGGGGGCTCTATTGATTATGTAGTTAAATAACATGAATTCTTTGAAAATCTTCTTCTCTACTCCTAGGTATTAAATAAACCAACTAAGTGCATAGTTATGATGATCAAGATTGCCTCTACAAAACTTGAGAATTTTATGGCCCCAGGGTCAGGGGTTCTGGTGTTAGGGTGGGGCTATATTGATTATATAGTGAAAATACATTAAATCTTTGAAAATTTTCTTTTCTGTCTCTGGGTATGAAGCAGATGAACTACCTATATAGTTATGATGAGCAAGTGCCCTAATCTTGCAGAATTGTGAATTTCAAGGCCCCAGGGTCAGGGTTGGGGGGGGGGGGCTCTACATTTATACTGGAAATGAATTAATTGTTTGAAATCTGGTCCTTTGTATTTATAAAACATTTATTTACTTTTTGATAGGCAATTTTAAGGGTGCCTTTTAAAAATTTGTGCAACCTAGGGTCATGGGGTTTATGTCAGAGTGTTAGGGGCACTACTGATTATTGATGAATATTACTGATTAGTTGGAGTGCATTTTTGTTCCCCTATCCTGCATATGGGTATTCAGTAATCAAACTAAGCGACTGTTAAGTTTATTGTTATGATGATCAATGGTGCTCTTTCAAAATTGTGAATGCCATATAGCATCTGGCTTAAAACATGTTATTGAATCAAATTCAATACACTGTAACTGGAAAGTTGTTGCATAATGCTCAGGTGACCTATAAGGCCCGTGGGCCTCTTGTCTTATATATATATACGAGGGTTGTCCGGAAAGTTCGTGGACAACATTGATAATTACTGACAAAATAGATAAAATGTGTGAAACTATTATTTTCATTAAATTCATGTTCCATTTTATTAATATGCAAGTTTTCAAGAAAAACAGAGCACAAATAGTTATATTTTTATCAAAATAAAAATGACACACACTCATACCCGGAGCACTAAAATGAAAATTCTTGACGTCACCCGACGTCAAAAGCATAATACGAGTATGTGTTATTTTTCTTAATATAGTCACCGTTTATCTCAATAAATTTCTTATGTCGCTTTAACTTGTCAAAAATATGTGCACGAAATGTTCAGGTTTCATACGTAAAATAATATTTAACAATCCTAGTCTCATATCCTGCAATCTTCCAACTTCTATCCGCGTAAAAACGATTTTATTTACGGAAATATGGTAAAGTTATGTTACAAAGTTCATTTTTTACAGCGCTGCAATCTCGGAATGATGGTTTTTCTTCACGCATGTCATCCTGTAATCTGTTCCTTCCGTCCGAAAATATTATATTCCACTTAAATAATAGTGTACGGCTTCTTTTACTATGTTTTCCCGATTGTTTATAAAATGTATTGGTCTCTGTAGTTGTTTTATCTGATGTCTACGCAGAATTTTATCACTGCTCACCTATTCCGAAAACGTCCCTTTTTGGAACAATTCCGATCCGTCTTAATATGTTCTAACTTTGATTGCTCAGTCATTTTACAACTTTGAATTTTAAATTTTGCAGGTTTGAAGTGATAACTTCTGTCAACCTCATAATGTAAAAGTTATCCAGATTTCTGCAGAATTTTATAAAATGCAAATGAAATTTATAACGTGATAAATAATTTTTTTTATCGAAATTTTGCGGTGCTCCGGGTCTCCATACCAAGTCTGATTATGAAGTCATAATTGTAACTAAACATTTGAAATAGAATCCGATTTTACATTTCTCAATTCACATTTAATTAAGAATCACAAATATGCTGATAATAAACATTTATTTAATTCTTAGCCTGTCCACGAAGGTTACGGACAACCCTCGTATATTTTAATTTCTGCCTTTAATTATTCAATAGTGTTTGGGTTGCTGGGATACATATTTCTAGAATCTCTATCATGAATGTGATAACTTTCATGATATACAATTATATACTGTATTGAAATCCTTTTTCTTCCAGGGATTTAAGCCTAGTTCTGGGACCGTCCAGGAGTTGAATTTCCGCAGCAGTAAGAACGTGTGGGGGTACTTCAGTGTGTCTGCCACAGGGGGACTACATGAGTACGCTGACTCTCAGTTTGGACACTGCTTCTCCTGGGAGGAGAACCGGGAGGACGCCAGAGAGTGAGTGGGGGTGGGGGACAGGAGGAGGGGGATAGGGAGGGTTAGGGTGAGGGGGGTAGAGCAATTTATGGTAATGCCTGATATCAAGATATTTTGTATCAAAAGAAATTTCATATAAATTGAATTAAATTCTGTTCAAAGGCAAATGTTTACTTTCATTGGCATGATTTGTAAGAATTAATTTTGGGTAGACTTTACTTTACCGGTCCCCAGATCCACAAGATCCTCGCGCTCATTGGACTATGATGTAACAACTACGTCACTCAACTGAAATGGATTAAATTTGCCCACTATTCGACTGATTAGGGTTAGTCTTGCACCCACCTGAGAGATTAGTGTTAGTCCTTGCACTAGTATTCGACTGATTAGGGTTAGTCTCGCGTCCATCCGAGAGATTAGGGTTAGTCCTCGCACATTATTCGACTGATTAGGGTTAGTTTAGCATCCGCCCGGGAGATTTCGTCTGAACGTCTTAGTCCTTGCATATCATACGATAGATTATGGTTAGTGAATCGTTCTTTTAGTTAAGTTAAAAAATTCAGTTGTTTCTGTAATTTTTCCAAGATCACAATTCAAATTCATAGGCATTTCCTTCGTTTGTTTACATGGAAGATTGGCTAAGTCCGAAAGAAATGACACTAAGCATGCGCCGCACGCGCTTCGTTCAGAATTATTCTTTGTCAATTTTTTCCATGAACAAACAACTATTTATTAATTTTTTTCAGAGAACGAGGTTAAAAATTTTGTTTAAAAACAAAGTTTTAAACTAAACTTTTCACCGTAGAATTCAATTTTGGGGTCAAAAGACCAAAAAACCTCGTATTTAAATTTTTTTTCGATTGCTCACGCGATCTCATATATACTGAAGTCGCCTTCGGCGACACTACATTTAAGCGCGTTTTTCTGGGGACCTGTAAAGTAAAGTCGTTCCTTAATTTTTTATGCATAGTTACATAATTAATTTTCACCAACCATTTTAAGTTCCCCTCATTGAAATATTCCCTGATATAATTAATTAATGAATTAATATGGAAAAAAGGAAGATGAATTGTAATGAATTGTCAGTAGTTTAATGAACAAAAAAATTATGGAAGAAAGCATTCTTTTAATAATTAATTTCAAATGAATTAAAGGAATTTAGTGGTGGCGTTGAAGGAGCTCTCAATCCGGGGAGACTTCCGAACCACGGTAGAATACCTCATCAAACTCTTTGAGACTGAGGAGTACCAGAACAACAAGATAACGACGGGCTGGCTGGACAAGCTGATATCTGAGAACGTCCAGGCAGAGAAGCCGGACGTCATGCTGGGAGTGATATCCGGAGCGCTCCACATCGGGGACCACCAGATCCAGGAGTGCTTCCAGATGTTCCAGACCTCGTTAGAGCGCGGACAGATCCTGCAGGCCACGTCACTCAAAAACCATGTGGACGTGGAGTTCATCAGCGAGGGGATCAAGTATAACGTCAAGGTAAGGTCAAGGACAGGACATGTTCGAACATTTATACCAAGTTTGATTGTCAGTGAATGAGAAATTTTTTATTTTGTTACTGTTAGATTGACATGCATAAATGATAAAATTGTACATCAAACAAATTCAGAATTTAATGCTGCTCAATTAGTGTGAAAAATAATGCTTTTGACAATTGTTTTATTAAATACATATGAGTACAATTTTTGTTGTTATTTTTTTAGGTTGTGAAGACAGGCCCAAACAACTACTTTATTTGTATGAATGATTCCATGCTAGAAGTGGAGGCACACAGGTGATTTAGAGAACAGTTTGATTATTCAAATTACAAATGTGTGAAATTTCAACCATGATTGATGCATGTATCAAGAAAAATGTACCTGTATTCAGGGAAATTAAAAAAATTAAGTTACAAAAACTTTATATATAAATTGTAAAATTAAAACTGTAAACCAGCTTTTACTTGTGACGACTTAATTTCGCGATATACTGGGGATAAACTAGTTTGGGACGATTATTTTTTGCGATCAGGTCTTTTTTGGATCCATTGTTAATAGACACAGAGACTTTATTTAAGGACAGCTTGATGATGAGAAATTTTCCCAATAACGAAGCTTTCACGAAAATTTCTCCTACGCTAATAAAAGTTGATTTTAATTACTTTTGTTTACAGATTAAGTGATGGGGGCTTGTTAATCTCGTTTGATGGAGCCAGCTTCACTACTTACATGAAGGACCAAGTAAGCAGCTACAGGATTACAATAGGAAACAAAACCTGTGTACTACATAAGGAGAATGATCCTACCAAACTCAGGTATTGCATAAAACAGCTACAGGATTACTATAGGAAACAAGACCTGTGTACTTCATAAGGAGAATGATCCTACCAAACTCAGGTATTGTATAAAACAGCTACAGGATTACTATCGGAAACAAGACCTGTGTACTTCATAAGGAGAATGATCCTACAAAACTCAGGTATTGCATAAAACAGCTACAGGATTACTATAGGAAACAAGACCTGTGTACTACATAAGGAGAATGATCCTACCAAAGTCAGGTATTGCATAAAACAGCTACAGGATTACTATAGGAAACAAGACCTGTGTACTTCATAAGGTGAATGATCCTACCAAACTCAGGTATTGTATAAAACAGTTACAGGATTACTATAGGAAACAAGACCTGTGTACTTCATAAGGAGAATGATCCTACAAAACTCAGGTATAATATAAAACGGTTACAGGATTACTATAGGAAACAAGACCTGTGTACTTCATAAGGAGAATGATCCTACTAAACTAGGGTATTGTATAAAACAGTTACAGGATTACTATAGGAAACAAGACCTGTGTACTTCATAAGGAGAATGATCCTACCAAATTCAGGTATAATATAAAACAGTTACAGGATAACTATATGAAACAAGACCTGTGTACTTCATAAGGAGAATGATCATACCAAACTAAGGTATTGTATGAAACAGCTTCAGGATTACCTTAGGAAACAAAACCTGTGTTCTTCATAAGGAGAATGATCCTACCAAACTCAGGTATAGTATAAAACAGTTACAGGATTACTATAGGAAACAAGACCTGTGTCCTTCATAAGGAGAATGATCCTACCAAACTCAGGTATTGTATAAAACAGCTACAGGATTACTATAGGAAACAAGACCTGTGTCTTTCATAAGGAGAATGATCATACCAAACTAAGGTATTGTATAAAACAGGTACAGGATTACTTTAGGAAACAAGACTTGTGTATTTCATAAGGAGAATGATCCTAACAAACTCAGGTATTGTATAAAACAGCTACAGGATTACTATAGGAAACAAAACCTCTGTACTTCGTAAGGAAAATGATCCTACCAAACTCAGGTATTGTATAAAACAGTTACAGGATTACTATAGGAAACAAAACCTGTGTACTTCATAAGGAGAATGATCTTACCAAACTCAGGTATTGTATAAAACAGCTACAGGATTACTATAGGAAACAAGACCTGTGTCCTTCATAAGGAGAATGATCCTACCAAACTCAGGTATTGTATAAAACAGCTACAGGATTACTATAAAAAACAAGACCTGTGTATTTTATAAAGAGAATGATCCTACCAAACTCAGGTATAATATAAAACAGTAACAGGATTACTATAGGAAACAAAACCTGTGTACTTTATAAGGAGAATGATCCTACCAAACTCAGGTATTGTATAAAACAGCTACAGGATTACTATTATTAGGAAACAAGACCTGTGTACTTCATAAGGAGAATGATCCTACCAAACTCAGATATTGTATAAAACAGCTACAGGATTACTATAGAAAACAAGACCTGTGTCCTTCATAAGGAGAATGATCCTACCAAACTCAGGTATTGTATAAAACAGTTACAGGATTACTATAGGAAACAAGACCTGTGTCCTTCATAAGGAGAATGATCCTACCAAACTCAGGTATTGTATAAACAGCTACAGGATTACTATAGGAAACAAGACCTGTGTCCTTCATAAGGAGAATGATCCTACCAAACTAAGGTATAATAGGAAACTCTGTAAAATTGATACAAAGTGTTTTTTTGTGGCTGGATCCAATTATTTTGGCTCAATTTTAAACTCCTCAGACACAGATGTGTTAAAAGACAGATAACTCTTGTGAAGTTCAAAGATGATACAAATAAAATGGGAGTGAACCTTTTTCTATAGAAGATTACAGGATTACTCTAGGAAACAAGACCTTAGTACTTCATAAGGAGAATGATCCTACCAAATTCAGGTATAATATAAAACAGTTACAGGATAACTATATGAAACAAGACCTGTGTACTTCATAAGGAGAATGATCATACCAAACTAAGGTATTGTATGAAACAGCTTCAGGATTACCTTAGGAAACAAAACCTGTGTTCTTCATAAGGAGAATGATCCTACCAAACTCAGGTATAGTATAAAACAGTTACAGGATTACCATAGGAAATAAGACCTGTGTCCTTCATAAGGAGAATGATCCTACCAAACTAAGGTATTGTATAAAACAGCTACAGGATTACTATAGGAAACAAGACCTGTGTCTTTCATAAGGAGAATGATCATACCAAACTAAGGTATTGTATAAAACAGGTACAGGATTACTTTAGGAAACAAGACTTGTGTATTTCATAAGGAGAATGATCCTAACAAACTCAGGTATTGTATAAAACAGCTACAGGATTACTATAGGAAACAAAACCTCTGTACTTCGTAAGGAGAATGATCCTACCAAACTCAGGTATTGTATAAAACAGTTACAGGATTACTATAGGAAACAAAACCTGTGTACTTCATAAGGAGAATGATCTTACCAAACTCAGGTATTGTATAAAACAGCTACAGGATTACTATAGGAAACAAGACCTGTGTCCTTCATAAGGAGAATGATCCTACCAAACTCAGGTATTGTATAAAACAGCTACAGGATTACTATAAAAAACAAGACCTGTGTATTTTATAAAGAGAATGATCCTACCAAACTCAGGTATAATATAAAACAGTAACAGGATTACTATAGGAAACAAAACCTGTGTACTTTATAAGGAGAATGATCCTACCAAACTCAGGTATTGTATAAAACAGCTACAGGATTACTATTAATAGGAAACAAGACCTGTGTACTTCATAAGGAGAATGATCCTACCAAACTCAGATATTGTATAAAACAGCTACAGGATTACTATAGAAAACAAGACCTGTGTCCTTCATAAGGAGAATGATCCTACCAAACTCAGGTATTGTATAAAACAGTTACAGGATTACTATAGAAAACAAGACCTGTGTCCTTCATAAGGAGAATGATCCTACCAAACTCAGGTATTGTATAGAACAGCTACAGGATTACTATAGGACACAAGAACTGTGTACTTCATAAGGAGAATGATCCTACCAAACTCAGGTATAATAGGAAACTCTGTAAAATTGATACAAAGGGGTTTTTTTGTGGCTGCATCCAAACATTTTGGCTCAATTTTAAACTCCTCAGACACAGATGTGTTAAAAGACAGATAACTCTTGTGAAGTTCAAAGATGATACAAATAAAATGGGAGTGAACCTTTTTCTATAGAAGATTAAGTTTTTTTATACCCCCCGCAAATGAAGTTTGGGGGGGGGGGTATATAGGAATCACCTTGTCCGTCTGTCCGTCTGTCTGTCTAGCTGTCTGTCCAGCTGTCTGTCCGTCCGTCTGCCTGTGCAATCGTGTCCGGTCCATATCTTTCTTACAGAGGGACATTAGAATCTACTACTCCACACTAAGATTACTCATGACCTAAGGGTGTGTCATGACCTTGACCCAAGGTCATTTGGGGAAGTTCAAGGTCACTGGAAGAAAAATTTCATAATTCGTGTCCGGTCCATATTTTTCTTATTGATAAACTTGGTAGGTTCTCATTTCACACAAAGATTTCCCATGACCCAAGGGTTTGTCATGACCTTGACCCAAGGTCATTCGGGGAAGTTCAATGTCACTGGAAGAAAATTTTCAAAAATCATGTTTGATACATATATTTTATGGATAAACTTGGTAGGTTCTCATTTCACACAAAGATTGCCCATGACCCAAGGATGTGTCATGACCTTGACCCAAGGTCATTTTGGGAAAGTTTAAGGTCACTGGAAGAAAAATATCATAATTCGTGTCCGGTCCATATATTTCTTGTGGATAAACTTGGTAGGTTTTTATTTCACACAAAGATTGCCCATGACCCAAGGGTGTGAAATGAGAACCTACCAAATTTATCCATAAGAAAGCCAAGGTCATTGGGGAAGTTCAAAGTCACTGGAAGAAAAATATGATAATTCTCGTCTGGTCCATATATTTCTTATGGATAAACTTGGTATGTTTTTATTTCACACAAAGATTGCCTATGACCCAAGGGTGTGTCATGACCTTGACCCAAGGTCATTTGAGAAAGTTTAAGGTCACTGGAAGAAAAATATCATAATTCCTGTCCGGTCCATAGCTTTCTTATGGATAAATTTGGTAGGTTCTCATTTCACACAAAGATTGTCCATGACCCAAGGGTGTGTCATGACCTTGACCTTAGGTCGATTGGGGAAGTTCAAGGTCACTGGAAGAAAAATTTCATAATTCAAGTCAGGTCCATATTTTTCTTATGTATAAACTTGGTAGGTTCTCATTTCACTGAAAGATAGCCCATGACCCAAGAGTGTGTCATGACCTTGACCCAAGGTTATTTGAGGAAGTTCAAGGTCACTGGAATAAAATTTCATAATTCGTGTTTGATACATATGAGTATATATAGTATATATATTATGGAAAAACTTACTTCTGAAAAACCCAGCGGGGGGTATTTTGTCCCGTTTGGACAGTTCTAGTTATACCTGCATGTATATTAAATACTTGAGAATTTCTATGTTTTCTATGAAGGTCCCCCTCTGCTGGTAAGCTGTTGAATTACATGATAGATGACGGAGGCCATGTGTTTGCTGGGGATGTGTACGCTGAGATAGAAGTCATGAAGATGGTGATGGAACTCACGGTCACAGAAAATGGATGGTAAAGGTTGTGTAGACAAATTACTTGTTTTAATTATGGCAAACAAGCTATTACAGAGTCATTGATTTTGTTGTTGTTTTGCTCCAAAGTCAACAATATTTCAGCAATATTTTGGCAGAATGCTCATGATCAGAAGTGATTAATGAATAAGACATAAAAAGGATTGAAAATCTATTAAGTTGAATATGCATCAAATTAAAATCAAGCAAATAATAAACCTGAAATTAAAAATATTTGTCAATGAATAAGTAATAGGTATGGAGAACCTAAGCTTTTAAGAATTAACACAACATTCCTCTTGTTACAGTGTTCATTACGTTAAGAGGCCGGGAGCAG